TCCCAATCCAGGAAGGGAGGGGGACTGTTGTGACTCTCCTGTTACCAAGTGAGCCATGGAATTTTACGACCAGAAGGTTCCACAGCAGTTGGGAACCACAGTTGTATGAATAGCAAGAAGACAAATGTGTGTGGCTTGTTACTCCGGCTCTGAGCACTGTGCCAAGATTTGCTGCTTGCATCAATATTTTTTATAATTACCAACCCTTGTGTGTGCAATCCATTAATAGCAAACAAACAAAAACAAAAACCAAATAAACAAAAAAAACCAAACATCACCACCAAAAACAAACAAACAAAAAACCCAAAACCTTTCAAATAAGATCTATACAGTCTTTATGTTAGAAAACCATCTGGATAGCTGATACTCCTGCCCCAACCTTATTTAGATGTCTTAGATGTCTTATTTTAACCCTTGTTCCAATTTATTTTTATCGACTCCCATGAATAAGGTTCTACCTCCTCTTATAAAAATTAAAATAGCTGAAGAATGTGAAAAGTATTAGAAACAAATCAGAACTGTCCATAAACTATTACTGCCTTGTCATTAGTGGCCAGCTTGCCTTTCCTCCTCCAGCTCATCTCTCTAATGGTGAGTTAACACTACTTTTATTTTATTAGTTCTTTCCATGATACTCCACTTTTCCCCCAAGTTGGACTTTGGTTTCTTTGGCTTCCTTTACACACCGGTACCCAAAGACATAGACATTTTGGTAAAATAGGAATTAACGCAGTAGAGGGAGGTGGAGTCAACAAAGATGCTGAACTCAAAAATCACAAATTCATAACCGTGGGTTTCTACAAACAGAAAAAAATTGACAAACTAGTACAGAATAATACAGTGGAGAGTTTAGGCAAAGGGGAAACTTGATGGCTGAATGGTTGTTTGCCGGAAGCAATTGAGTTGCAAAAATCTGATTCACAGAGTAGGCATGTGGGAGAGGTTGTAGAACACAGTATTGCAAGTTGGAAGCTGCTGGCCTGGGAGGCTTGGGAAAGAGTGGTCTCAGAGAGGTACAAGACCTCTTACCTATGGATGGTCATTCTAGCAGCAGTGTCAACTTTCCAGTCGACCCGAGTGGATCCTGTCTGCTGGACCTGGGATCTGAGGACCTGGAAGACTGGGGTGGACCACAGTTTAATGTTGTAGACAATCTTCCTTCAGTTTTAGAGCAGCATAATCTAAGGAAGGTTGAGTTCAGAAAGACACGATGATCAGAAAAACATGTAAAATAAAAGACACTAAACACATACTAAATATTAACAGAGCAACCCTTTCCCAGGACTTTCTCAGGATAGATCCATTTAAACACAAGTGCCTGGTTCATGCTATACATTATATCTTGGCAAGCACAAAAGCCAGGCAGAAGGCCATATCCAGATTCATGGCACACTGACCAGACTGGGTTCTATACTGACGTTCTCACATCCAACAAGAATAAACATGCCTTATAAGTTAAATGAAAATGTAAATGTTTGTCACAGGAGGCATGAAATCACATCCAAGAACAACCGAGGGAACAAAATCCAGCTGAGGTGAAAGGCCCTCTGTCCTTTTTCCCTAGAGCCTTTCTCTCAGTTCCCCAAGGCATTGCTCACCATGAGTTGTTCGTTTGTTTGTTTGTTCCCACATAGCAGTACAAGCACTCAGGTTCCCTTCCATTTCTTACTAAGAACTTGTTTGTTTTCCAAACCTTCTTAATCCAACAATTACAGCAACCCAGAGGAAAAAGGTGAGGCATGTAAATTTAAGTAGGTGGGATCACTTGAAATTTTTTTTTAAATAAATCACCTTTAAACCTGTACTCCGCGGTATTTTTTTCTCGCTTTTAGTGGACAAATACCTCCTTCATCCCCTCTTTTGTCTTTCCTTCACTTCTCTTATTCACACTAAATGCTAAGCTACTGAAACTCTATTAGACCACAGACGATGAGAACTTCCCTTTCTAAAATGATGAATGAAGGTTATGAGCAAGTGAGAGGAGTGGAGGGCTGGGAAAGAGGGCAGAGGCGAGCACCTGGGGAGACGGGCACAGCCCGAGAATTCTCCAGGCATGCTCTTTCTGTAGTTTGCTGGTGACACTGTACAATCTTTGGGGCCAATCTGAATCCCAGCAGCCTCCTCTGTAACCCGAGGAGATCTCTTTAAGCTCAGTTATAGAACTTTGAGTCCAGAAATGGAAGTTTGGAAAGTTGTCTGTAAAAGAAAAACCTTGAAAGAAGAAAAGAGCTCGCTTATATTGGCATGGGAGGTGAGCAGGATTCAGATGCCACCTTTCTTTCATTGTGCAAACATTGCTCCTACATTGTTCTAGGTGGGAACAAGCACAGATAAATAAATAACAATAGAATACAGGGCTTGGAATGAGTGGGCCTGTTTATTTGTTTGTTTGTTTGAGGCAGGGCTCTCTGTGTAGCCCTGACTTACCTGGGTGGGATTAAAGGTGTACACTATCACACTCCATTTAAGCCACTGTATGCAGGGTTGAAAAATAATATACATGGAAACCAATTAGATAATTCTAGTATGTTAGATGTTGTAAAAGAAATTAATAGAGTGACAAGACAGAGTTTGTGTATGGGAGGAGAAAGCCAGACCTTAGATGATGCTTAATTTACTTGTGTTCGGGAAAATAAGATCCTTCAATCATTCAGCAACTCATAAAACAGATTTATTTACCACTGTATCTGTCTACACAGATGGATTTCCATGGTAGGTTTGATAACTCTTTCTAAAAATGTTAAGGTATAGAGTACACAGCGTTATTTTAACTGGGCATGGTGGCCACACCTTTAATCCCAGCATTTAGGAGGCAGAAACAGGAGGATCTCTGTGAGTTTTAGGCCCTCCTGGTCTACCTATAGAGTGCCAGGGCAGCCAAAACTACATAGAGAGACCCTATCCCCAAACAAATAACACAACCCAAAGAGTTATTTAGTAGTAACTTTTCCTAGTTGCAGAAGTTTAGAAGAAAGTCCAGATCCTTTCTAAGACAGGCAACACCCCCTTCCTAGGTTGGAACAAACTCCATTGTTCAGGATCGCTTTAAAAAACAACTCATTGTGGGCTGGGATTAAAACTTCTCTGTCCCAGCACTGGGACAGAGGCAAGTTGATATCTGTGAGTTCTAGGCCAGCCTGGGATACATAGTGAGACACTGTCTCAAAGAAAACAAAAGAACTCCCAAACAAAACTCTTATAAGCCACAGGGCTGTGTCTGGCCACCTCAGTGCTACTGTATTTGGAATCAGGGACTTTAATAGCAATTAGAGTTGAAATGGTGGTTTAAATGGAGCACTGATCCCTGGGATTAGGGTTATTTTAGCTCATAGTTTGAGGGTGTGGTCCATCTCGGATGGGAAGATGCTGAGGCTGTGATTGTGATGTGCAGCCAAGACCCCTAGCCATCTTACTGCTCTCAGAAAAGAAGCCAAGAGAAGGCAGGTAGCAGGGCCTGCTATGAAACTCTTAGGTCTGCCCTTAGTCACCCACTTCAGCCAGCAAGGCTTTCCCTCCCAAGGGTTCCACAAGCCCCCCAAACAGAGCCACCAGCTGGAGACCAAGTACTTAAACTCCTAAGCCTATGGGGGGTATTGCATCTTCCATCTAGAGTGTCCTTACAGGGAGAGGAATCAGAGCCTTCACTTTTTCTTCCTTCCTCTCCCATGCATACAAACCCCACCCAGACAGGCCTTGTGAAGACTCACCAAGCAGGCAGCCATCTGTGGTCCTCAGTAGAAAGGAATCTGCTGCAAACTTCATTTTGGACTTCCACACTCCAGAACTGTGAGGGGATAAATGCATGCTGTCTGTGATCCCCAGTCTGTGGTAGTTCGTTACATCAGCCAGAGCAGACTGGCACCATGGCTTAGACTGTTGTGCTTATTTCTACATAATTTGATCACAGGTCAGCAGGTTTTGTAGAATCCTGTTCACTGGTTCCTCTGTTTCTCAGTGTGACACGTAGGACATGGTCTACAAGGAATCCAGAGCACTGCATATAGCATGTCTGTCAATCATAACTACCCTTCTTCCAGACTATTTAATAGGCAGTACACCAAATAATATTTATGAAACAGTCATACTCAACATTGAATTAGGCATTTCCCAACAGAGCTAGCAGTGTGAATTAAACAAATGTGGGGGATCTTATACTTCCCCAAATTAGAAATCTTCAAACCCAAACACATCTTCCCTCCACTCCTTCCAGCCTCAGATAACCCAGCAACTACACTTTTCTGACACCATGTACCGATTTCTCAGAGCTTGAATAGCTGCAGATTTCAAAGCAATGACTTCTTTCCTTTTCTGCTCCACAGGTAAGGAATATTACCAAGTTATTATAGTCTTTTCCCCCATAAAATACGGCCTTTATGCTTTAGCCATCCGAATCTTCTGTGGAATTCAGTCATGAATGTACCATGCACTAACTCCATGGCTCTTGGCAGATTACTTAACATTTTAGAAATGGGACGAAGGAGAAATGACAGCAGGAAGCTTGGGCAGCCACCACTCCTACAGTCACAACAGCTAGTGTCACGATTGCTGTATGTAGTCTTTGTACCCAGCTCCCATATCTCACTCCCAAATCCTTCAGCCACAACAACTTTGCTTAAAAAGACCATTCTCTGTCCAGATGTCTCCAAACGACTACCAACTGCTTGCAGCATCATGTCTTAATTCCTTCCTAAGGATGAATGAGTGGGCTCTCCTCTAACTGCCTGGTGCCGGTTCATTGTGACTGGTGCACCATGGCTGCTACTACTAGGAAAACCTACCAGGACAGCCCAGGTGCATGACTGCCATCTGGGTATGAATAACAAGAGCTTCCCTCCCACTCTCAATACTGTCCTAATTTGGGTGTCAGTCATTCTTCACTCACCTGGACTTATTACTGCAGGGAGAGAAATAACCCCTCATGGGTCTCTCCTCATTTAGCGGCTGCTTCTCTGGGTTTGAGAACTGTGCTTATCTTACTGGCAAATCCCAAACTTTCCCTCAAAGCTCTACGGAGGACTCACCCTCTTCTGGAACTTTCTTTTGGATAGACTTTCCCTCCACCCAAAGATCGCTCAGCAGTCATATAAATAACTCAGAGTAACTGTAATTGGCTCTGTTTATAAGCTGTGGCTTGTATCTATTCTCCCTCCAGGTAGTTTTCCATGTGTTAGTGCTGTCTCCATTAATTTGTAAACTCCCAGAGGGCAAGGCCTGAACACAGCCTGGCGCTGTCATTAAGGGCATGTGCCAGAGAGGATGAATGAGAGACCGTGCCTTTCCTTTATTACTAACCTGTTCTATTTCTGATTTTCAAAACATCTTTCCTTAGTGATGATTCCGAGACTGGAAACTTAATACAAAATACATATCCAGCTTGAGCTGGTGTGCAGATAAATAGCATAAAACCAAGAGTTACAAGCTTTTCATAACAGAAAGGGGAGGGTATGCAGGTATTTTGACCCATAAGGAAATCTATAGTGTATTATTACAATTTATCATCTTCGAAGTTGTATTCTTGTCTCTTCGAGGCTGCAGGAATCTCTCAGAGAGAAAATAATACCTGCTTCCAAAGCTGAGATCTAAAAACTGAACAGAGCCTGGAGAAACATCCAGACGATCTCGTTACAAGTTCGTACTGTGAGTGGAAGGAAAAAGAGTGTAATCTTGGGAGCCCTCCTTCTCTGATTGGAGCAGGAAAAGTAGCTCAGTTCCAAGACCAAGATCACTAGCTGGGAGAGCCTCCTTCAGCTCAGGTGATAAAGGGAGTCCACAAAGGTCCTTCTTTTCCATCCTGTGTTAGAGCCTGGGATTCCATCCTCTGGCCACCTGCTGCACTGGCTGCTAGCAGCACCCACAGTGGTGAACATCCGACTATTACCAGGCACTGAGCTCAAGGTATAACCCACGTAGGCGGCTCACTAGATAACATCAAAGCTATGAGCAGGGGCCAGAAAGGGGGGGGGGGGGAGCAGCTCAGCGAGGGAACCAAGCGCCTCCCCCAGCGTTTCCTCTCACGCCCACTTCCAACCTAGGAGGCTTTTGGTTTCTGCTTTTGTTGTTTTTAAAATGAAAAGTTGAACCCAGGAAGCTTGGGAGCAAGAGTTTTTGCCTTGCAGTTCGGTAAGTTTTCTTTCCTCGGTTCTTTTGTCTGCTTGGCTTGGGAAGAGCCCGGTCGTAGGGGACAGTTGCTGCGGGGAAGGTTTGTAGTCCGGTGGCCCCGAGTGGGAGGCGAGGGGGAGGGGAGAGGACTCGTTGGTGGACGGGGAAGCCCAGCGTGCAGGCTGGAGGGGAGGGACTGGCGGTGTGACCCAGGGCCAGCAGGAGGAACCTCCGGGATCTCCGCGTGGCGGTGGCGCTGCTGTCCGCACAGGGCGGAGGGCCGGAGCCGCGGGGCCGCGCCAAGGGGGAGCCCGAGCCAGACAGCACCCGGCGGCCGCGTGGGAACCCGGGTAGGGGGAAGGAGCAGGCGCGGCCGCGGCTTGGATGGTGCTCTCCCTAAGCTGCTCAGCTGGGGAAATGCGATCAGAACCCCTCAAGACCCCACTTTTCCCAAGGGGCGCAATATAAACATTTAAATGATCCGTGGATAAACAGAAGGGGCCCCTGGAACCTCTTTGCTTCTCCTAAATCTAGAACCATTATCCGGATCCCCGTTGTTCCAGGATTTTTGACAGTTCAATCTGAAGGTTACCACTAACAGGGTAATCGGGATCACACATACAATTCCGTTTATTTGCTATAGTCTGAGGACCTACTATTTACTGTGTCACAACACAAGCTGAAACAAGGTATTTATATATAACATAGCTGTATTTTTCTGCATTCTGGCACGAAACAAATCGCATTTAGGGAATTCAGAAAACTTAGCAGGAAAGTGTTCTGTATTATCTGTCTCAGACAAGTTTTAATACCTGTTTGCTGCTCAAGAAAATATAGTGAAATGACAATTCAAAATCAGATGCAGTTTGTTCAAACATTCATAGCATCGCTATATCCTAAAGACAAAGTGGGTTCATGGATAAATTTCTGTTGTGTTTAGCAACTATCAAGTCAAAGAATGCACCCTGGCACTTAGCTATTTTTTTTTTTCCGTTCCAAGTAACACACACTAGACTTAGGAAGAATGTGTCTTTATCCTAACACATTACATATAGGTTCACATCTATGTGTATGCTTAGCTTTAGATTCAAACAGCTCAACTGGGGGAAGGGCGCTACACTATATTCTTTGTGAATCTGACCCATTGGATGTTTTATTTAATGAAATAGATGCTATCCCACTGAAAAGTTAAAATGACACTATTCCATTGTAGAGCTAACATAGCATGCTACCCACCATTTGAACTTTCTAGTTGCCCGATCTTTGCTCCTATAACCAAATTTACTTTCTCGTAGGCATATTTTCCCCTTTGCAAAACATTATTTTTGGCTCTAGGCTTGCCATTACTGAGTATTCCATTTTTAATCATTTCCATTCTGGGGCTTTGAGCTTTTCTTAGCTCGAATGAGCCAGAGGTAGGACTTCCTCAGGGGATTTTAGGGGTCAACCGTTAGCAGGAACGGCCTGGACATCTTTATGAAAGCCTAGGGGAACAAAACAAGTTTGCACAGATGGTCAGCTGTTAGTAGGCGTATGGTCGTTTAGCAAAGAATATTTTTGTTTTGCGTCTCTTTCTCTCTCTCTGTTTCACACGTTTTTCTTTCCAACTTTGAGGTGGCCCGTTACATCAGTCACTTCTGACTTTTTAGCAGATATGTGGAATTTTTAAATGCAAACTGCTAGCACTCTTCATCTCTAACCTTGAAAACCTGCTTCCATCCCCAGATTAAGCTCTCCTGATATTTCCAGAAGTTTCCAGTCCCCTTTCTCTAACACTTTCTAGAAGCCGGGGTCAAGCTCTGGTTTGTAATAAATTAATCTGTCTTCCTATTTCACTCCCCCAGAGTTCCAGAAGCCGGCTGGGCGACTCCGCCCTGTACCCCCTCCTCTGCTCCCAAAGTTCCCTGGCGGGTTAGTCCCCAGCTGTCAGGCAGGCAAGGAGGGGTTAACTGCGCTCGCTGCTTCGGCTCTGGGAAGCACCGGCTCTCTCCGGAATAACCTTGGCTTTCCTCGGTCTTTTAATAGAACATCCGCCACCAAAAAAGTGCTTTCATTTCAGGGCTTAATAAAACGTCCCCTCCGACCCTCTAAACCAACACCCCGCCCCCTTTCTTTCTTTCTTTCTTTTTTTTTTTTAAAGTTATTTTTCAAAGTTAATGAGTTTCAAGTTTCACAATGATTTCCCCTTCCCTTTACTTGGAGCTGAGGAAACCCCCTTGGGGTCCCCCCTCCCTCCCGGGTCCTCCTCCTCCCCACTAGGGCCAGGGCGAGGGGCGGGGCTGGGAGACACCATGACGTCACCGGGCCGGCCCACATCCTGCTCTAGAAAGTCAAAAGACGGTAAAGAGAATCGGGCGCCGCCCGGCCCCGCCCCTCGTCCCGGGCCAACCGCCCCCGACTGCGGCCCGGCCGGGCTTCCCCGGGCCGCGGAGCCCCGCCTCCTCCCCCGCCCCGCCCCGCCCGCCCCGCCCCTCGGGCCGCGCCTCCTCCCGCGTCCTGGGTCCCCGCGGCGGGGCCTGCGGCGGGCGGGCGGGCGGCCGGGCGGGCGGGCGGGCGGGCGGGCGGGCGGGGCGGCAGGGGGCCCCGGGCCGGCTTCACGCGAGCCCGCCCTCCCGCCGCAGCCCCCGCCCCGCCGCCCCCGGGGATCCCCTGCTGCCCCGCCCACGCGCGGGGGAAGCCGCCGACCTTCGCCCTGGTCGCCCTCGCCCTGCCAGCCGTCCTCACGGACACCCGGGAGAGGTAAAGGCCGCTCTCCCGCCGGGTCCCACCCGGTCCCTCCCGCGCCCCGCTCGCTCCTCGGTGCCCGTCGGCAGCGGGACCGGGCGCGGCGGGGACGGGGCCGCGGGAGGAGGTTTTGCTTGTGTCCCGGTTGTCAAGTGCAGCGCAGCTCCCGACGGGGTGCGGGCGGGGTGCGGGCCGGGCGCGGCGGTGGGGGCGCTGCACCCGGGAGAGCGCAGCGCGGGGGGCGGGGGCCGGGACCACCTCCCCCTGGCGGGCGGGCGGGCGGGCGGGCGCGCGGGTGTGCGTGTGAGTGTGTGCGCGTGTGCCGGCGCCGACCTTGCGGAGGGGATGCTGCGTGCGGGAGCCGCTTGCCACTTCGCCGGGTCCTGGCCGCACGGGCGGCGGGAGCTGCGGTCCTGCGAGTCCAGCAGGTACGGAGGGCCGGCCTCCCGGTCGCCACCGCCGCTTCTCGCAGCAGGGCTCGGCGGGGCTGCGGGAGACCAGGCCGCGGCTTCCGCACCTCCCGGCTTTGTGGCTCGCTTTCCCTTTCGTTCTTTGCCCGGGGTGCCTGTTTACTCCGGGCCACCTGGGTAGTTTCTCTCCGGGTAGGGCGCGCGCCCGCCGCTGGTGGATCGGGGGCGGTGGGCAGGGGCGCGGGGCGGCTCGGGCTCGCCGCGGGGTCGGGCTCCAGCAGGAGTTGCGGCTTGAGAGGGGAGGGGGCGGCGGTGAGGCTGGCGCGAGGAGGAGTCTCAAGGCTGCCGCGCTCGCCTGCTCTGTCCTCCGCCTCCTCTGGCTCTCCGCATCCACTCCAGGCTCCTTCCGGAGCTGGCACTTCCATTCCCCCCTCCTTCTGGCATGCGAAGCGCTTTGTTCAGTACAGCGTTGCAGAGGGGTTTTCCCAGGCTCCGCCCTCCACATTCATTCATGTTTTTTCTTCTTGAGACTGCCTTTACGCTTTTTGATCGTGTCCTGTTTTTGCACCTTGTAGTATATTTTTCTTTCCCGAGAAAGAATGGTTGATCACTCCTCCTAGTCGCTACAGTGCTGTCGTCTTTGAAAATAACCACTTCTCCTCCACGGATTTAAATGTGGGCTGGACAGCTAGGGACAGGGGGTGGAGGCTGCAAAACCGGGTCGCCCAAAGCTGTTACAGGTTGGGAATTTGCATATTCTACATTTATGCTTGGGAGCTGATGGGGCGTCACGTGATCGGCTTCACTCAAGAGTTTACGCTTTAAAAACTTAGTAATATTGTGATCGCTTAGAAGCTTTAGTTTTTTAAGGAACGGAGCATTCATACGCTTTTTCAATTCTCTGTGCAGTCAGAACATTCTTGAATTCGATAGCTGATGCCTCTGTGGTAACGGGAGTTGAAGAGCATTATCTTTTGTAGGTCATTAGCTGGTGCTGCAAGACACATCATCCATCGTTGACCATCGTGTTTCTTAGTCTTCCTCCTGCATTAGGTTGTGTAGTTTGTGCTATGTCTGTGCTGGCATATGTAGCCCTGTTAGCAATACAGCAAGCACGTTAATTGTAGCCACCGTTTTCTTGTGCGTTTTAGCTAAAGTGAAAGCGTACATTTCTAAAAGCTTATTCTGGGATTTTAGACACATCCTTTCCCTTAAGATGCGTTCTTCCCGGGAATTAATATTTCAGCATTTTCGTGTGGCAGGCAAAGCTTCTACTTTGTTGAGCTTAGTCCTTACAACAACCCTTCTGAGGTGGATAATGTTTCCTGGTTTAAGGCTTGGGAAATCTGATCTTTTCAGAGTGGTTAAGTACCTTGAACAAGGCCACACACTATGGGGTAAAGCCTGGCCTTGAACCCAGTCTGGTTTGATTCCAAAGTATGTCCTCACAATTTGCTGTGTCATTCATCCTTTTGGGAGGGGGTTGCTTAGGATAGGTAGGTTAAGTGTTACCTTCTCTGAGGAAATGGGCATGGAGTCATGTGGGGCCACATTCCATAGTTAACTGATCTGAGGCAGATTTCCTAACCTCTTCTAAAACCTGTTTTTGTTTGTTTGTTTCCTGTAAAATGGATGAATTGGAGCTGTTGTCTCAGTAGTTAGGATTGAATTAGGTGATAGGTAGAAACTCTACAGTAAAACAAGTACCCACTAAGTATTCTATTGTGTCATGTGCGCTAATAGATATGACAGGTTTTGAACAAAGTGTCCTTAGTCTGTTCCTTATGTTTGCTTAGCGATTAAACTTCAGTTTCACCTTTAGTGCCAACATAATGGGCTTTGCTTATCAGTGTTGTTGCAGGAAGTAAAAGCTGAAATTTTAACTGATTGTTGAGAAAAAATCTAATGGAAGAGACCTGGGTTACTGATTTGGGAATTTGGGTGGTTAGGTTTCAGGCACAGTCAACCTTTTGACATTGCAACATAATGTCATGGTGTCATGGCTCAAGAACCTTGCTACTTGCTACAGAGTTACAAAAAAAAAAAAAAAAAAAAAAAAAGGAACTCTTGTAATGTTTTAAATAAGTTTACTATTTTGTGCATATTTAGAGATCCCCAGTCAAACTTGGTCACTGCCCATGGGCTGTGGGTTGGACCTGCCCGATGGATAATTGCATAATGGCATGATGGATTTCAGATTGCTTTTGAAAAGGCACAGTCAGGACAGACTAGGTTATGCTGCAGTAACAAGTAATTCCCAGGCCTTAAAACAACAAAGGGCTGCTTTTTGTTTAGCCAGCATGATCATATTGTGTAACTGGCATTGCAACCCTTTAGTAATACACACTGACTGGAACAGTGCCTGGCCTGTGCCAGAGGGGACAGAATGCTCTGGAAGATCTTTCTTTGATAACTAAGTGGGACTGCATGAATGTGAGGCATGTCTGTGGTCTACTCAAAGGTCAACAAGCAGCTGCAGATCACAGGCATGTGTAGTCCTGCCATGAACCTGGAGTGGAGGCGTGCCATCACTGGGGAACAGCCACCATAGCAACTGTACCTGTTAACTGAGTCAACTGAAATGGCATTACCAGGACATTGGGCTTCCCTTATGAATGGGCATATGGACTGTATACAGCATAACTCTTTCACGTTACATTGCTAACCTTAATTGTAATTCCAGTAATGCCATTCTAAACCAAATCTTTTCAGTCTAGTCTAAGCTATGTCTACTAACTTTTTGCTTCTCTTGTTTAATCAACAAGAAGGCCTAGGGAATGTCAAGATGACCTACCTGTCCTGTGCTTAGTTAAAATTGAATGATGTTCGCAAAGGTTACCTTTTTCTTGTGGTTCAGTCAGCACTGCTCTAAGCCCTAGCTTTTAACGTATCCTTTTCTTTTGAAGGTAGTGAGACTTACTGCTTTTGTCTTTTTCTTTCCAGCATGTGGATTAACTGATGTGGGACAAGTACATGGAGCCAGCCTTTTGTAACCTGCTCTTCCAGCAATTTCTAAGAAGAAAAAGGAGCTCTTAAATCTAAGAAAATGCCTCGAACGAAGCAGATACATCCCAGAAATCTCCGAGGTAAGGCATCATCAAGTGCGTCATTGGCACCAGCAATGGCTGTGGGTTCCTCGGATGATGAGCCTGCTCCATTTGCTTCATTCCCCTCTGTCTTATGTAGTAGTTGTCCTTTATGTGTTGAATGGATGAATTCCACAGAATGACAGTTTTCCGGTTCAGGGCTAAGATTGATCATTTCTTAGCAGGAACTATGGAATCTGAAATTGATGGTTGCTATTTTCTGATGATTGAAACCACTGTGATTTTATCTTCATTCAAAAGAAAAATCTCTCCTCTCTTCGTTTTGTGTCTGTGGGAAATTGAACCTTGTCCTTCAAGCACGTTAGGCAGGTGTTGTATCGTGGGCTTGCCTTCTGCGTTCCCATATCCTTTGGAGATTAACTTCTGTAAGTTGTATCAAGATGAAGACATGAAGAAGAAAGTTGGAATTGACATTTACACAGCACATTGTTTGCAGGTGTCAGAACAAACTACTAATTTTCAACAAAGAAGCATCTCATCAATATTTGTATATAAGTCTAGGGGTCTAGCATGGGGTAGGATGTGGGCTTAACATGCTTGAGACCCTGGGTTCTATTCCCCCCCCCCCACCAAACAAAACAGCAAAGGATACATATAAAACACACTTTATACAAACACCAGAGGGTAAATGTTTTTCTCTTAAAGACAAAGATATTTAGTATCTAAAAGGAAGCAATTTTACTATGTCTGTTAAATGATTTGTATTGTTTTGATGTGTTTCATTCACTGGGAGAAGCAGTCATCTTTTCTATTTGATTCCAATATATAAGAATTCAGCAGTATTAGACTTGTAAGATGGCTCAGTTGGTAAAATGCTTGCTATCCTTCTAGGAGGACCAGAGTTCAGATGTCTAGAAGCCAGTAGCCAGTAGCACAGGTCCTGTAATCTCCCTCTGGGGTAAAGTGGGAGGTGGAAACAGAGTACCAATAAGCTCATGGGCCAGACAGCCTAGTGTACCTAGACACCAAGAGGTCCGGTCTCAGATGAGGCAGAAGGCAAGAAGTGACACCTAAAGTTGTCCTGATGTCCACACATGTCCGTGGCATGTCCAGACCACTATTCACGCACATGTACACAAAGATACAGATGCATATGTAAAGATTGTAGCAGCGTGAAAGAGACAATTGCTAAATCAAATAATCTTAAGCATAATAAAGTGCTGTGTGAAATAGATTCATCACTTAATATTACAGCCACACACAGAGAAATACACTGTTGGTGAGTCTATCATACAAATATATCCATTCACACATCTTAGGTGGTCTAGCCTACTGTATACCTGGCCTATGTGCTTTAAGGTTTTGTTCCTAGGCTGCAAACATGTGAGCATGTATCGAGTCTGTATATAGGCGCGGGCTGATTAAAACTTTTCCATTCATACCCTCTTTTCACTGAAGAAAGTTTTAGAAGCTCTTGGTTATATAAAAATATAAAATAAGCACATAAATTAAGCATTTAATAACAGTAAGTCACAGTTATAAAAATATTTCATATGTTAGTATATGTACATGTGTGTGTAATTACCTCAACAGCCAGAAGACGGTGGGAGGGCCCCTGGAGTTACAGCAGTTATAGGTATCGGGTGTAGGGGTTGACTGGCAACTAACTCCAATGCTCTGCAAGATTAGTAAGTGCTCTTAACTATCTAGCCATCTCTCTAGCCCCAGATCATAAAAGTTTAAAAAATAACTTTATTTTGTCACTAAGATCAAAAAAAATTTGCATGCTAAATTTGGTATGTTTATTTGTTTTAACACAAAAGAATTAGGTCTCAGATGACCATTTGATGCTGTGGGATGTGGAGCACCTGTAGGGTTTCTAATTGATTGATGCTTTGACGTGATCCTGAAAATGCTATTTCACATGTTACATGGTACCAAATGGCAGAAGTATGGCCAGGGCCATGTCAGAAATTGTTGGAAATTCTGTTCTAACCTCTAAACTTCCTATTTTATTTATTTATTTATTTATTTTTAACAGAATTCAAGTCAGAATCTGAAACAGTAATTTCTAAAATCAAGTATTTTAACAGTAGCAATATAACACAAAGATGAACACTAATTTCATACATGTATGCTATGGTTGGAAAATTTTAAGTTGTTATAGTTTCTAGAGGAGCAGAAAACTTTGGATAGTTTAACAGGGCGGTTTGGACATATAATTGTTTGGAATCTGAGCCCAGGTATTTCAGGCAGGGTTCCTTGAGTGTGTGTGATGTCCAGTTTGGTACAAAGTACACATGTTTTGTGGACAGAGCAAGGCTGCAGTACTGTCTATGCTGAGCGCTGCCCCCCTTCCCATTTTGCATTCATCATGCATTTGGTTTTCAATTAGTTTTAGTCTATGCTGCATGTTTAGAAATCTTTCACTGTTGCCAAAGGATTTTTTTTTTCTCTCAACCCCCACATTCAGTTTTTAAGAATTAAGCAAGTGACCCACAATTTAAAAATCTGAGCTGAGGGAATTCTAACACAGTGGTATTTGTATATCTTAAAAAAAAAAAAAAGTAAAAAGTGCAGCATAAAAGGT